GACGTGTGTGTGCAACATTTCTCGAATATGTACCGCTGCTTGTCAAGACGGAACAAATATTGGATAAATATAGGTAAATCTACGAATGCTTCTCACTCTTGAGTTACATATATATATAGTTGTATGAAGTTGCACGTCACAGGAAATGTTCTTGCGCTCTTTGACTTTCAATAGCAGATACCTCAAAGTCTTGTTCATGGAACACCGGTCGCCAATTTGCTTGGTATTGGTAACCGCGTTGCGGATGCTTGCATCTGATTCGAAATCCTCTCTGGTTACTTTGAAACTTAGTCGATGATTCATGAAACTACCTAAGTAAATTGAACGTAATTTCCCTTTCAAATGGCATTGTGTGTGAAAGACAACAAGGGTGATTGCAATCTTTTGTCTATCTTTTTCTCAATAATCATCGTTACATTTAAGGATCTAATACGAATCGATTCAAATATGTGATAAAGATTCAAGCTAGATTTCGCACATAAAATCATCAATTTATAGAAATAAGTGAGATTTGAGGTATCGTTGAATGATATTTGAAGAATTATGAAAAATAAAAAGGAAGGAATTATTAATAATGATCGATTAAATCAAAACTACGAATAAGTAAGTTTTATTAAGAATTCGGTCATTTTATCTGCAATATTTATTATCTCGAATTGTTAAACGTTAATCAATTAATTTCATAAAAATGTAAATCAAGATAAAATTATATATTAATATGTTTGAGAATTATAATCTAAAAATTTCTCTTGAAGATACTCGCCTATTTAATCGGGTAAAATCGATAACAAGATATTGTTCTATTTTTCGAAAAGAATGAACCTTCCAATAAAATAGCTAGTACTTCAACGTCTTCTTTCGCCAAACCATCTTTCAATCTCTTTATCTAGGTCATTTACGTCAACCAGTATCGAGCAGAAAGTAAATACACTTGCATAATACATTACACAACGATATTTTCATTATTCGTGTGCCTTCCTATCTTCCTTCAACAAAAATTTCTCCAAGGGAAATAGCCTTTCATCCCTCTCTAAATTTCTCCATCCTTCTACAATTTAAATCGCCTAAGCGTCGCGTGCAATCGCACCACAATTCCGATTTCTAATTCGAGCCGATAAGAAGGGAACTCGTTGTGACGAGTTTCCGCAAGATTGCAGTTTAAAAAGCGCTTTGATTGACGTTCGTAACCGCGTAGCAGTCCGACTAGGGGATTGATTAAGAAGTGACACGCCAGATAAAAAGAAAAGTAGCACGCGCTACTTCATTTCCTCCAAGTTTTTCCAATCTTTGATCAACGCCCTTCCTCCACTCTCCACCCTCGTATTAGCTTTAACTCGATGCGTGAACACATATCGGTGGAATATTTTTCTCCATGCAGGGGATCCAGATAGCTCGAAGCTATTCGGTTTTTATTGGATTTATGTTTGTTTTGGGAAAAGAATGATTCACGCATCGAGATAACGTGATAAACAAATGATCGGATGATATGATGCGATATGCCCTACCTATTCTCCCCTAGACTCATTTTAATTGAGATACGAATGTAAATTACATCGATGTACATTAATTTCTTGGTATCGTAATTCTTCAATTTTTTTTTTATAATTCCTCTCGAAAAATAAAATAATCGTTTAAAATAATATAATCGTTTTCGAGCCAATATTTTCGAAAATGGTAAATAGAGAAATTAAGAAGTCTTGTGTAATAATTCATCGAGTAATGATATCATTGTATCGATAACAAGTTACAGATTGTGAAGTTTTTTTTTATAAGAGAAGAAAGAAATATTAATCGCAAAAGTTTATAAATTAGATTAGACAAGGGAGAAGAAAAATTCTTTTCCGGCAAATTAAATTTAAACTATAGTTCCAATACGTCTTTCCAATTAAAGTTCCAATACGTATTGAAACGTGAATAATAGCTTAAGAAGCATCTTGGTATAGAGGGAGCATCTTCCGTGAATAGTCATTCGGAGAATGGCAAAAAGAACCGAGGTAGTTTTTCTTGTTGCCCACTTGAAACGAGCCCTACGGCTCTTCTTCTTTGCGCATTTGTTTGAAAAGCCCGGCAAAGGGAGGTAGTTTTTCACGCGTGGACCACTGAAAATGTGAAAATTACACACATCTGTACGAAAAATGTGTCGCACGCAAACAACCACGTCTATTCGAACGCGGAAAAGTAACTGCCTGCTTTTATGAAAACACGCATTTACCGGTAAGCGCGTACCAGTTCGGTTTATCCCGAGTCGTACGCTTTCAACGTCACTGCTTCTTCCCTTTTTTTCAGCTACTGCCGAGCATATTCACAGGAATCGCGAGAGAGAAAAGGAAAAAGCTCAAGCACATACTTTGGAAATGAAATTTTCAAAAAGAATCTTGTCGTTCCTTCTTAAAAATCCTTGATTCGATATCTAGTTCCATATTAATTCCTGCTGGGCCAATTGCCTTGTTACAGGCGTTTCTGGTATGATATTAAATTGATTGTGGCTTGAAAAATATATCTAATTTATATTTATTTTTTTCAGGTTTATCGCATAAATACTGCACTCTTCAAAATTGCCTTCAAATCTTCAAAATTCAAAATCAATTTTTTAATCGGAATATATCATAGATGCGTGAATTTAACGTGAAAATTAGAGTGGAAAAGAAAAAATACGATATTTCTGAATAATCATCACGATTCTACGAATAATAAGAAGAGAAAATAATACGAGTGTACTTCCCTCGAATAAAAAGACAAATATGGCTTGAAGAATCGCGTCAATGTCTCGTTGCACGTGATGAAAGATCACTTCACACTTTGTTCATTTCCCTCGTTGCGAAGTCACAAGTATGGAATCCAAGAAGGCGGAGGAGAAACGGGGTCAAGAAGTATTAACCCCAGCCTGGTAGCGAGACATTAGCCATATGCAGCGCTGTTGAATCGAACGCTTCTCGGCCCGTTGGCATCATAAACCGAGGTTTTAAGATATGTGTCGCTGGATATGATGCCAACTGTATATGCATGTATGAGCATTTCGGACGTGTACTCGCTTCAGTCTCGCAGAAGATTGCAAAGATTCGTAAATATTTAAATTCTTTGACACCAATTTCGCTTTAAATCTCTGAAATACGAAATGATATTTTTCAAAACGAATAAATTGCAAAATATTGAAAGATGCTATTAAAAATGCACGAGAGGATCACAAGTGTCTCCGCATATACTATTTTACAAGGAGAATTAAAATCGTGAATGTGTTTAATTCCAAAAATTTGCTATCGAATTTTAAAAATTTTAATAATAAAAAAGAACTTGAAAGATGGATACGTGCAAAGAGGGGACAGGGCTCCAATTAAGGGATGTACGTACGATGGGTCGTGAGTGCCACGAGGACATCGTTACTAGCTCCAAGATCGCCATTATGCCACGACAAGGACGACCGTAACGATGCGAGCCCTCGTGATTTATGGTCTAACGAAAATGTTCCACAGAATGCTACGGATTATGTATCTACCGGCCAACTTTCCCGAGATACTTTGCAAGGCTAGATTAAGAGAATAATGGGCCTGTTTTTTGCCCTCCTCTCTTCGACGAGATTAACTCGAGGGAGAGCATAATATGCAACTAACGTGCATCTCATTAACCGCATCATAAACCGCGTGTTCGATCGGTTGATATCGATAAACACCTCCTATCGTAATATTTCTCATAAAAAAAGAATAGAAGATTATTATATTATATTTTTTATAAACGTAAAAAATTTTTTATCCAATCTTTTCGAATAAAATAGTAATTTTATTCTAAAGAAGAATCGCCCTTTAAACGTAATATAATTCGAGTTTTAAAATTTGAAAAATTCGAAAAAAATGCAGAGTGCATAGTTTACATTGGCTGCACATCGTTGACGAAAATAATTCCCCTGAAAATTATAATTTCAAGCTAGTGAATTCAAAGTGACTCTGTTATTTCAACTTGCCGCGTTTAACTACATTTGAGAGATTCATAATTTGGTGGATACGGTTTAAAATTGCAACGATCCCAAGGAGAAGTGTAATAACCAAAACCGTGGTCCCTGGAAATATTGTAATTTAATATTTAACCATTTTGTATCGAGAAGGATTCTCGGCGATGTTTCAACCCTTGCCTATTATCGCAGCTTAAACTTATTACCACGAGTTATAACCAATACCCTCGTTGTTAAGGTTAAACGATTGTTCTAAATTAATTGGCAACATCGACCTCGTTTATTCCTTAATACAATTTAGCTTATAATTTATTTCCATAGTTTAATATCGAAAACTTATTGCGTTCTTTTTGAAATTTCTTATCACTGCTACTTTTAATCCTCAATAATCCTTTAAATTGAATTGACAACACAAGAAAACTCTCACGTTCTACGCTTTAATTTATTGATTAATCCATTATTATCCATCAATCTCTACCAATCTCTCTCAAATTCAATAATACATACATACATAAGCCAATCTTTAATAAATAGATACAAACTCAACACAATTAATCTCCGGTAATTCCAAATCTCTATCTGAAACTAACTAAAACTAAAACATCAAAATTAACGCGAATCGCACAGACCCAATTTCAACTCCTAAATAATCCCTAATCCTCTCGCGTTTAATAAACCCGAACAGGATCAAGCCTCGCCACATCTCTCCATTTTAAACGTTGCCCAACCACCATTCACGCTCGGGCAAGAATGTCAGGGATTGCGCATGCGTCGTTATCCTAGGGTTTTTTTTTGACGAGAAATCTAATTTAACCTAACCTATAATCGTCCATAACAATCAAATTCTCGTTACAGGGTTGATGAACACACGCGACGTCTCTGTTTCGACGTTCCATCGGTTGATTTATCGATGACAACGAAGTAGTCAGATCAAAGAGCATCGGATCCGAGGAACGATGATAGATATGAAATTCTGCGTGGGCCCTCGACACTGACAACTCGATACGATTTGGCCATACGATGGAGATACGTGCACAGGGGACACACATTTACTCACCTGACACCGTCAGATGGACAGTTCTGATTAATGGGGGATGAGCACTGACTTGACACTCGTACACACCGCCGTCTCGCTCGGTCGCCGAACTTAAAAGCAGCCGCCAATCATTCGGTTTCTCCAAGGCGAGCGAGAACCTCGAGTCGCTCGCGTACGTGTCGAGGCCGATCGTGAGCAAGTGGAGCTCGTCGCCACGTCTGCGCACCCAGGACACCTGGAATAAGAGGAAAATGTGATCGTTATATGAGTTTGATGAGATTTGGAATCGGTGATTTTAAAAGAGAGGAAGTTGTTTAAAAGAGAGAAAGAAGAAAGTTCTCAGAAGAGAAATATTCTCTTGTTTGCAGTATCTATTTGTCACTGTTGAAATTCGGATAATGCGAGCCAATTCTGGGAAATAGTTGGAAGTGAGAAATTCTCAAGAATCTGATTTCGAATCGCGTTCGAATTTGAATTTGCCGCCATTTCTCAGATTCGAAATGTTCTCAAATTCGTATGAACGAATCGAGGATCGAGAGTACGATATCGAATGTTTAATTTAAAGTATCGAGGATGAAGAAAGGAATGATTGTGAAAATAAAAGTATAATGGCGCCATCAGGCGATTTGCTTCTACGTGGATAGAATATAAATTGCAAATTTGCATTCTTAAAGAATTGTTGTGTGATTGTGGAGTTATAAAAATAGAATTTTTGTATTATATGATTTATTTATTATTATATGTATTATATCATTCTAGAATATAAGTTATAGCCCATAATTTAAATTAATTAAATATATTATACAAATATCATTATAAAAGTGGTCATATATTGAAGGACTGAAAAATTGACTATTTTAAATGTAAAATTCAGGAAATATAGAGGAAGAATCGCTAAAAAATATTGGGATCCATAAGCTATTTATTGATTTCTCGTAAAAATAGGATTTAAAGCTTCAATCAATTAAAACATAATCACTTTTGTGGAAAATTCGATATTCGTCTCGTTCTCCACATGTCACTGTATTTATCTATAAATGCACAAACTATATTGAAGGATCACATAAATGAATTCTTCGATATCTGCGCCGGAATATGGACAGATACGATAATAAATTTGATTTTTTACCAAGGAATTTTTAGGATAGATAATCGAGTTTTGCAATTGATCTTTTATCGTATTTCTACGATCAAATTTAATTTTAAAAACGTTAGACAGATATCTGTTTGTCAATGAATATTATTTTAAAAGATTGAAAATGATCAAACACATTTCTCACAATAGAAATAATAATAACTATTGCAAAGATCTATTCTGGACTATAAAGAGAGCAGGAATCTTTTTCGTTCGAGAAAACCATAGTCAAAATGGAATACTTGAAATCTGATTAGGCAAATCTGGTGCCTGATAAAAACAGTCCATAGATGATTTCGCCAACCTGGACATGTATCAACGTTTCCTCGAAGCTTCACATCAAATGAAATCGTAGTCCTGCGAGAGATTCGGAGGCGGGAGAAAGAGATCTTTCGCCATGGCTATATCAATCTCAGACACGAAGCCAAGTTATAGCAATGTAAATTTAATGTAAATCGGACGTCCTTTCCACCCAGCAACACGCCACGTATTCGAATTCAAATTTCATCCTCTCGGCTAGACGGATGGGCTATACCCCACTCTTTCTTTCCCTTGATGCATGCCTCCTCTCGAGATAATCACTTCCCTAGATTTCGCGCGGCTCAAAGAGAGCAAGGTGTTGCAAGGGCAGCAAGCACGCAGAAAAATCCTCGAGAAATGGAAACTTCGTCTACGACAACCAAGGTGTCACGATATCAAAGCTTTCTGGATTTCATCTGAAAGCCAAACGCAAACTAGATCAATCTTCTCCTGCGGAGGTAAAGCTAAAAGTTTTTTTCTTAGAAGACCCATCTATGCAAGTCTATTGGATAAAGATTTAAACTTTGTATGAAATGCAAATACATTTTTACTCAAGGAATTATAGTCAAACAATCCAAAGGATAAGAATAATAAGATAATTAATTGGTAGATAAGTAACACAAATCAATGAATCGTGGAAAAAAGAACAATCTAATTAATGTTTAATAATACAATTAAGTCACTCATCTGACAAGTTGTACAGATCATCCTTTTAATAAATAAAATAAGACAGTTATAGAATTGGAATGAGATAAGTAGTAGAAGTTAATCATGGACGAACAATCGTGATCTAGTGACAAAAGCATTTGCCTAAAAAGTAATAACGAGTCAGCTAAATAAAATAAGAAATAAAATAAGCTTAAAATTACAGTTAAATAAATATAAGAAATATAAATATAAATTTACCAGACACGATTATAATTAACAATTAACAAAATAGTACAGATCAGTCATTTATTAAACAAGTTGAATCAACGATAATCGTAACGAGATGATCAACCAATCATCCAATTAGAATAAAAACAATAATTGGCCAAGAAAAAAGGAATTCAATTCATAAATTCAATGCACCGTGTATCCATCTGACCATTATAACTCGTTCAAGGATTAATCCATTATATCTGTTGGCCAGCTGTGAACGAAACGTCTCGCGGAAATTCTCCGTCTGCAGTTTAATACAGTGCTCGCAGTCGGTGCCCCCCTCCCCATCCGAGTTTGATACTTGAAGAAGTTAAAGAATCGTTAGGCGTGGCAGGTTTGTCTGCAAGTGTCTGGCATTTTCGAAGGCGTTGCGTTGCACGAGACACACAAAGGACACCGGGCGGCGGCCAGAGCCATTTGTCATTATTATAAAGGGCTCAGCAGTGAATAATTACATTCTTAGGAAAGTTGGGAAACGGCTACGCACGTTTATTTCGACTTCTATCCGCCCCTTCCCTCGCCCCGATTAATACCGGAACGGAATTGTTAATTGAAATCCAATGTTCCATTTTGCGACGCTTGGTCCGTTAAGTGAAAAGTTGGTTGGTTGGCCCGCGAAAGAAAAGGGGGATCCTCGATCTCTCATAAACGTGGAAATATCGAGAGAGAGAGAGAGAGAGAGAGAGAGATCGTCGTTGGAAAGTTTCATCGAGAGAGTTGTGAGAGCCTCGATAATGCGATTCCTTCTCTGTCAGGATTTGTTTCTTCGAAGGTGATGACGCGATATTCCCCCTCCCCTCCGATGTGAACACGACTTAAACCGATCCGATTCCGGCTTTTCGAGAGGATATTCCAGCGAATCCTTATCGTGGATGAATAAAAATTTATGATTATTGGAAAAGTGATTATAAATGGTGTCTGATGAAAATTAGACCGTTATGGGTGGGGTATAAAATTTAAATGCTCCCCGCGTGAATTGATTAAATCGAGGGGGAAAAATGGAGAATAAACATTGGGGATTAATAATGCAGTTGGCGGGTGTCAATATTTATCTCGATATATGTATCGTGATATTCGGAAACGAGAAGAATTAAAAAAAAAAAATTGTTTAAAAATTTCATCGCGTTGGGTGTGTACTCGTCGGCCAATCATTTTCATTTTATCGTTGGGAATTGTTGTAAACACGATAAAAGTCGCGTGATCGATTGAAAAAAAAAATGAATATTATAATATTATCCAAAATAACGAAATGATTATCGCATTTATAAATAACGAATACGTTTCTGATCGAATCTTTATTTCTTTAATTTATTTGATTTGGGCGAGGAAAAGTGGAGATTAATCGATCAAAATTAATCAACGTAAGAACTTCGAAACTACTTTCCGTGTGATTTCTCACTCAGAAACGTTATTTGATAACATCTGCTCGCCTAAAGAAATTTAAACGCCCTGTAATTATATTCCTCCCGAACTAAGTCTAAACTAAATGGAACTTCAATTTCGTTCTTCCTTCTTCTCGAAAAGAAAACGAAATTAATCCTTCCTGAAACAATGATTAATACCTCCAACCGAATTAAACGAACGTCACTTTGTGTGGCAACAAAAACATTAAAAAAAAAAAAAAAGAAAAGAAAAGAAAAGAAAAGAAAGAAAAAGAAAATTACACAAAATAATTCCCTCGTCCCTTTTAAACCCTTTCAATACGAAAATAAAATTTCCTCCCCGGGAGAAATAGCTCTCGAATTGGCGGAGAAGGAAAAGGTAAATCACGAGAGGTAAATCAATGACACTAATGAGAGAGAATCTTTTTCCCTTCGTTTTCTCGTGAACAGAAAAGAAGGGGGAAGAGGGGATCATCGACATTAGGCGCGAGAAAATAAGAGCGGGAGAGGAAGAGATACGGAACGAGGGTGGACAACAGCACGTAGTCGCGCTCCAACTCTCGATAACAAGGCGTAATAATGTTTGCCTGTCGCTGCACTGTCCGAGATAAATCGTCGTCCGTCGAATCAGCAGTTTAAAATACGAGGTAGGCGAAGGGTGTAGTAGTAGTAGTAGTAGTAATGGTGATAGTGGTGGTAGGTACGTACGCCGAGCGAACGATCCGCTAAGGAGATGATACGGATCCGATGGAACGCGATACACCCCCGTTGAAATTGGAGCGAATCGATCGTATCGATCTTCGACACGGTTATAACCAGGACGTGGCTTGTCTCTGGAAATGAGTAGTACCCTCACGTGTGCCGGCCGAGGAAGAAAAAAAAAAAAGAAAGAAAGAGAGAGAGAGAAAGAAGAAAAAGAGAAAGGGTTATCGAATTCGATGCATCCCAGAGGTACCGTTCGGTAGTGGAGATATTTCTACACACCCGTGAAAACTACTTTGAGTCTAAAGTGAAACGACGAGGATGGAGAATTTTCTTTTTTTGGGAGAAACAATTGGATCGAATGGAATCCTTAACTTGGTTTCGGTGGTTTTCTCGTTTCGAAGTAAAAAGAAAAAAAATATAAATGAACAAGTGAAAGTTTGAATAATAGATTTACATTAAAATTTTAATCGTCAAATCAAAATTTTGATAAGAGAATTTTCATTAAAATCGGGATTTTTAAGGCATGTTTTTAATTCTTTTTTTTTTTTGGCACACAAGAAAATAATCAATTTCACTTTTTTGAAAATTATATGATCAATCTCGATGGAATTCTTTGCTTGATTTTTTTTAAGCTATGTGTAAAATGGAAATGAAAATGGGAATGAAATATTTTCATTTAAGTTATGGTTTTGGTTTTAAGTGAGATTATGGTTTTTTAATTATCCTTTCACGAAATGTCAGTCATGCAAACACAGAGATCGAAAATAAAATTTAATTTTATTAATTGCAAAT